GAAAGTAAGGGATTTTTGCAGAGAGAATTCTGGGTGCAGAGTAATCCGAAAATTGTGAGGGTGGAAAAAAGTTGGAAAATACGCTAAGTATGGAATTTATACCTTGGAAGATTGAAGGGTGGAAAGATAAGGGCCGTCGGATTAAAGTTAGATCCTACAGTGGGGAGTATTAATTTGCACAGAGCTCAAAACGGACGCGTTAGGCGAGGAGGCACAATAATTAAAGCGCCTGACACATATGACAGACGTGATGCGTGGCAGAAAGCGGGCGCGACAGAAAGGACTTGAAGCAGACAAACTTTATTTCTAGCGATTAATGGGAAATTATTCGAAAAAATGAGCGGGAAGCTTACCAGCCGGTCGATATCTGATGACGAGCCATCCAGAAGGTCGATGAATACTAATTCACTCTTAGATCGAGTCATTCAGACTCGACCAGAGTGGGGGGGGACTAGATGATATGGGATATTATACCCACTAGGCTGAACCGGTCTATTGACCGGTCGAGGAGGTCGTATTATGAGGAAGTCAAGGAAATCGAGCAGTTAACCAGTCGACCAAGTAAAACTGTCGACTAAACTATCCTTCGACCAGATACATAATCGGGCAACCTATTCGACCTCAACAGGTCGACTACTTCGGGGACTTAACACCACACTGTTCGGCCTAGTCATAGGCGCGTAAGGGAGCCTTTAACAGAATTCCAGGAGAATATTCACCCCATGTGCGGGGGGACACGTGTCGAGAAGGCAGTGGTGGATAGCGATAACCACCCCTGACAGCCTACCCCATGTGCAGGAGGACACGCGTCCAAAGGGGATTGGTGCAGGCGATAGTGGCGACGGCTACCTCTGACAAATGCGTTTGGTGTGTACGGATGGGCAGTTAGGGCAGACAGCTCATCAAATCCGGGTAGCCCTAGGTCAGGTATCTCACCCCTATATAAAGGGGGTGAGCCTTTCTTCTTCAACACGATCATTCCATTGCTTACTCTTGAGAATTGATTGAGCATACACTGACTTAAGCTTCGGAGGCTCTTCACTGGAAAACCCCTCTGGTGTGAGAGTTCTTTGTAGGTGCACGATGTTCAACCGACGAGAAGGAAGGCGATTACTCAAGTTCCAGCCGGTCGGGAAGTTTTGTGTTACCATAATGCATGTGAGATTTGCAGAATATTACCCTTTGGCTGGAGGGGGAGAATTGTTGGTCTAGCTCAAAGAAACAAAAAATTATAATAGTTGAGTAAACAAACAAAAGAAGAAGAATCCAGCCACATGAAGGAAACTTGCTACAAACACAAACAAACAAGTTTGTTTTAGTTGGCACCGAAAAAATAATATAAAATATAGATATAATAATTGTTGCAGGCTGAATGTAGTGCAGGTATTATGTGACATCCTCTACTATAAATTGAAGGTCTTCAGCGGAGGAAAGTGCACCGAGAAGAAGAAAGAAAAAGAGAGCAGAAACAACATCAGTTTCTGGAGTGAGTGTTATTTTTCAGTGAGATAAAAATAGAGTGTTTGAGTAAATCCTGTGAGTGTGGAAAAATACACTGGGTTGGGTATCAACTCTATTACTTCTTTGTTTAGGAGTGGCGTTCTCACTGGGTCACTATATTTTACATTTCTAGTGTAAGGGGAGTGTGAAAAGATATTGTAATTATCTTGAAAATATAGTGGAATTGTTCGGAGGTTGTCCCGTGGTTTTTTCCTCTATTTGGAGGTTTTTCCACGCTAAATCTTGGTGTCTTATTTCTTGCATATTTTATTTATTTGGGATATTCTTAGTATGCTCTGTGGTCGCAGTTTAATCTGAACTTCCACATCAGAAAAGATTTATTTCGGTATTATTGCAAGAGATTTTCTTTTGTCATTCTTGAGTTGCTGGGATTGGGATTATTATTCACCATTTTACCTTGATATTTTAATTTACATCTTCCGCATTTGCGCATCTGAGCCCAACATTGGATTCGTGATTACCTAACATCATTATCACATAAATAGCTTTAGGTACCACCAAAAAAATGATACATAAAAGGTAATTCTTTTGGTAACACAATAGGTAACACAAGTATTGGCGCTGCAGTTCTGGATTCATGATAGACAATAGGTAACACAAGTATTGGCGCTGCAGTTGCTCGTGCTACCTAAAGTCAAAGGTAATTCTTTTGGTAGTTTTTGGTAAAACTTATATTGTGCATTGTGACACTTTAAAGTAACATAAGCTATATGTTGCCTATAACAATTAGGTAACACTTTTGATCAATTTAAAGTAGCATAAGCTATGCGTTGCCTATAACATTTAGGTAACACATTTGATCAAATGCAACACTCTCTTTGCAACACTTTTGATTAAAACGTAACACTTTATCCAATAATTGTATCACTTTAGTTTAGACATGGCCAGCCAATGGTCCCCGGCCCGGCCCGGCCTGGCCTGTCGGGCCACGGGTCCTCGGTTGCATGGCCCGCGACTGGCCCGCTAAGAACCAAGGGTCGGTTCGATGAACCGGCCCTGTACCGATGGTCACGGGCCTGTCGGTTCTCAGCCAGTTCCGGGCCGGTTCGGCGGTTCGCGGTTCTTTTTTTTACTTGACATTAAAAAAATTATAATACGTATGTAAACCGAGCAAGACTCCAAGTATTAATACAAACCCGTTTGTAGTTGTTGCATTGTAAAACTCCATCACGACTGTTTGTTTTGGTAAAGCCATACAAGATGAGGTGAATGATAGGGTGATATCTTGGGACAGGACGGTGCCGAATTACATCGATTTGGCGGAGAGGTATCTCTGCTTTCCGCAGCATGTGTCGGTGTACGAGTTCTCAAGATGATGCCTTCGACCGACCATGGTTGCTGAAACTGGAGATACCTTTCCGCCAAATCAATATAATCCGGCACCGTCTAGTTCGAACATGACACCTTATCACTCACCTCCTCTTCTATGGCTTTTTCAAAACAAACAGTCTTGGTAATGTTCTAGAATACTGGAAACAGATACAAATGGGTTGTGTTAATACTTGATCGTTTTTACGAAGACTTTGTCCTAATAAGTTAATTTGTCAGTATCTTGAGTTTCATCAACGTCATCATGCAATTCGACTCCAATACACAGTCTCGAGTAAAATCGTCGTGCTTTTTTATAGTGGCCTAAAGCACGTCACTTAATGAAAGTTGTCCATGTTATCATCTTTGGCGTACAATAGGTTTATACCATCATCACACAGTTCCATAAAATTACAAATTATTTCACAGATCACTGGAACTGTTAGATAGTGCTATCAAACTAATTTGAAGTGTTGATGTTTAATATTAAATTTTTGAAGGTCGCTGGGTGCGTCGCATCTCATCTCGGGGTGCACCTCGATTCATCGGTGAAGGCGCATGACAAGTCTCGTGGCCGTCAAACAACACAACGGGTTGAATATATATTTGGCGAAATAGCAAACAAAAATTCTTTTGAACTTCTTTTGTATGACCAACCACTTTTTTGATTTGTCGTGGTGGATGGCTTGTTGGATCTTCTGGACCTCACAAACTCGCGATTTTGATCTTCTCCCTAATCTCTCGATCTTGACCGATTTCTTACTCAAGAAGTTTAGAAACTCATGTGTATTATGTTATGAGGAGGCTAAGAAATTGGTGTATTTATAAGTACAATAGAGACCCTAAGTAGGAGCTAAATATAGACTTCTCCAATTGTGGGACAAGCCCACTCCCTACACAATTGAATAATATTAAACGTCACTATAATAATATTGTTAAACTCTCAATTTAGCGCCTGAATTACAAATAATTTATTCCCAGCTAATTGCTTTAATTACCTTCTCATGTTTAAGTTTTAATGTCTATTGATTAATTTAATTACTGACATCTTAATTAATCAACATCTCCATCTGAAATTAGTACCACTCAATTTTATTATAATGTCGAAAACAATTTCTGCCTGCAGGGCTTAACATAATAAACATTCTGAGCTCATTTTGGGGACTTCATCAACTCGGCGAACTGGGAAACAGTGACTATAAAACAATCTCTTAGCACATCATGTACTCATCCCTTACATACCAAAATACAAAGTCTATCGACCTACCAAAATTAACCTTACCCATGCTAAATCAAATAAGCAAGTATCGAATGCATATGTTTGTTTATATTGCCTTATGGGTTAAGAGAACACATCAATTATTGAGGTCCAGATTATTTACTTGGTCAATATAAAATAGTTTTATCCTCCGTAGGTTCGTCTAATACATCCAAGATATACTAGTGTAATTCATTAGTCAAATACCAACTGATTCAAAATCACACAATAGTCTTGCACGACAGTTATTTCAATTCTGTTTGGGTTGTGAACAATGAATTTATATTCTACAAGGCACCGATGATAATATGAAATTTATGTTTGACATATCGAACTATATTATTTACAACGTAAAATAAAAGAATTATGTTTATATAAATAAATAAATAAATATACTACAAACATACACTTGACTAAAACATGATATTTATTCAAAATGGTATTGTCAAAAACTGAAAGTCATGCTTTTACTGTATACTCTAACAAGACAAGCTCAGGGTCACGTCTGTGACTGGCGTCGCTCCTCGTGAGGGCCCCTCACGGCCTACTGAGGCAAGCGCCTTCAGGGTTGTCTCGCGCGTGAGACGCGCCGCGCTCACGACGTGCATGTGGCCTCGCACCCGCAATAGGCGATGCACGCGCGAGGCGCATGCAACTGCGCGAATGTAACTAGCACCACAGCCACAGCCCGCGCCCGCGATGCTCTTGCTGACTTTTGCTTTTTGGAACTTGAGTGAGCAACCAAACTTGTGGTTGTCTTCTTAGCTTTGTGATCCGCGAGAGAAGAGTCGAGTATGTGGCTACCCGATTTGGTTTTGTTTGTCGCCCGACGGTCAATGTAACATCAATTTTGATCTATAAATTTTACAGTTTAACGATAAAAAAAAAAAGTAATAATAAAAAAGAATAACTCTTATACACTCAAAATGAATATTGATCTTGTTATAGAGTTTGGATTAACTCAATTCCATAGTTTAAACGTTGATGCCTGTAACTGATTTTTTCTAATATATTTTCCTCTTGTTTGCAGATATTATGGTTGGACATTTTAAACATGATGTTGAAACTTATAAATATGTCTAGTTCTCTTCAATGCTATATCAAAGTTGAGTTTTATATTGACATACATTCTACTAAACTTTTTTTTGGGGGGCGAGCCAGCCCACTCCGCCATGGCCCACAGCTCGCGGGGGCTGGCCCATTTAGGCCCACGACCTAGCAGGCCTGATAAAAAGAGCTTTCCTGTGGGCCCAAACCCACCTTAACGGCTCTAAAGTATTTTGTTAAATGCATGAATAATATGGGTTTTTTATTTCTAAATGAGCTCAAGTTTACTAAACAAGATGTAAGTAGTGCATCTTTGGATACCCCAACACAATGAGTATAGTTGATTGACTGACCAAACACATTCAATAGAGGCATATGCTCAACTTATGATGTATTTGTAGTAACACATATCAGTAAGTTGGTTCCTTCATGACAAATAGATTTTCTATAGTTGATTGACTGACCAAACACATTCAATAGAGAGCATATGCTCAACTTATGATGTATTTATAGTAACACATATCAGTAAGTTGGTTCCTTCATGACAAATAGATTTTCTATGGTTCAACTGTATTATCTATGGCAATATAAAACTGATGGATAAATTGTTATTTGCTAGTAAATATTTATTTAATCTTTCTTTCATGCTTGTAGTTTTTGTTGTTTTTTGGTAACAAATTCTTAATGCGTACTAAAACACATATTTAAACCCCACAATTTTTAGAGACGGTTGCCAAGTTCTGCCAAGAGAATTATCGAGTTTACTAAACCGGCCATGAAGCACAGAACATATCACCCTCAAAATCTCTTCATATTCACGAGGCATTTTGTACTATCATAGTAAGGCATGTTGCAAGCCCGTTGATGCTAGGATTTGTTTTTATATACAAAGAATTTGTCCAAATCAAAGAGAAAATTACACTAAACGACCATTCTTGGTTGTTCGTTCATATGCTTCCACGGGAGAGAGTAGGCTGTTCATTGAACTTTGCTTCTTTAGATTTTGTACACAAGACTCTAATAATACAACCAAACAACAATTCAAACTATGTTTAGAAACTCCAATTTGCATGAATGACTTTTTCGAAGCAAAAGTAAAGTTATGACACGAGCGTCTGTTGTCTCATTGGAGTCAGAAGCCGTGCAAAGCGCAAAGGAACGTGAGCACGTACAACGGTTCCATTCTCGACATATTCCTATAAAGAAGGATGATAATTAACTAGAGAAAAGAATGGGTTGATTCTAACATAAAAGTGAGCAGATAATGATATTTCACAAATGCTTGTGTCTGAAAAAAGGATTAAATAACAGCAAATCCTATGTAGAGTAATGCTTACTGTTTTTTCAACCATGCCAACATGATGTATGGTGCTCAGGAGTTCCCCTTTCTCAAAGGGAATCAGAGCTTCCACCCACACCATCATATCCTGTTGAAAATATAAAGCATAAATTAACGTCAATGTCACACACAGACATCTCCATTCAGGAAAATAAAGGGAAAAAGAAATAGTAACAAACCGAATATGCAATTTATCAAATATTTGACGACATTCAAAATCACCTTTAGCTTTTCTTGAACTGCATTGCAGAAATCATCTAGCCCTTCACCAGTTAAAGCAGATATGCATACGACATCTGCGCTTTTCTTGGCTTCAGACCTGATTTTTCCAGGGTCCCGTGCATTATCGACCTGTAAGAATAAGTCAGATACTCTTGAAATTTGGACTAATTACAGAAGGCCTCAATTATCTTTCAAAATAGAAAGTGCCCCCTTAAACCATTACTAATGCCCCTCGAAATTTGCATTTCCAAAGCAGATATTGTATCACCCTATGTGGTAGTAGGATGAAATATGTGAAATTGAATACTATGAAGTGTTATTCATGATTCTGAATGATAGTGGGTGCAACGTAATTAAATGTCCAGGATAATTTTTTTTAATTGAAAGATCAAGTTATTACATTATGGACATACTTGAGACAACAGACACTTCGTGAATTTGATCCAATAATCAGGAAGATGGTAACTCCCGCTTAAAAATAATCAAGTTTATAACAGAAGTTGTATCATATTACCTTGTTCCAAATAATTAATTTTGGAATCGAAGATGTATCAAGCTCTGCAAGAACTTTGTCAACGGCTTCTATTTGTTGCTCTGCCAGTGGATGGCTGATGGAAAAACCAAAATATTATTAGTCATTAGAAGCCATTTACTTGTGACTACATGACCCGCTTTTGAAATTTTTCCAATTGTACCTTATATCCACAACATGCACCAGAAGTGATGACTCGGATATTTCTTCAAGAGTTGCCCTAAAAGCAGCTACCTACGATAAGAATGCCAAAGATTAAATTTCAGAGAACATGAAAAGCAGATGTACACTAGTAGTAGGGAATAATCACGAAATATAAGAATGAGAAGTGTTCTTACCAGTGTTGTTGGTAATTTTTGAATGAAGCCGACAGTGTCTGTTAAAAGAAATTCCTTCCCGTTCTTCGTCTGGACAAAAGAAAATAAAATAATTGCTTGAAATTACGGTATGCCAGGAGAACATTTCTTGGTACACAATTTGTAGTTAAAAAAGTTGATTCAATATCCAATACCGAATGACAGGTATTTTTAGATTTAGGATTGAGTAGAGGGAAGTGGAAAGTGAAAAAAAAAATGCAACCTAGTTGAACATCAAAATATCTTCACCAATATTCTCTCTCAGACAAAAAATAGGCATCTAGTAGAGAAATGTGTTGCATAAAATTGAATACGAAGAAAGATTGACAATACAGGAGCAAATTGCTGAAAATTTATCAAAAGTGAAAATGTAAAACCACTTCCCTAGTTTCAGGTCTAAACAGCAAAGGAATGCAAGTGGAAACTAATTTCTCGAAAATACACGAGATAAAAAATTGTTCCAAGAAATTATCTCAAGATTAGGAAATCAGATATTTCTGGACCACGTTGAAAGAAAGAAGCTAAAATAGTGAAATTTATACTTGCCTGCACTCTTCTTGTAGTAGGATCAAGAGTAGCAAATAATTTGTCCTCAGCAAGAACGTGAGCTCCAGTCAGTCGATTCAAAAGTGTACTCTTTCCAGCATTTGTGTACCCAACCTGATCAATATGTCAGTTGAAATTCATCACTCTTTGTAAGAGCTTAAGAAATTAACCAGTAAGACTCAATGTTATAATATTTAACTAATATCTATATCCAATATCATGCACAAGCAATAGGAAAAGCAGAAAACCACAAAAACAATATTATCTTCCACTATTATAAGTTTAGAGAAACTTCTAATTCTGATTCCATTACCGACAAGGTAAAAAGAAAAAAGTTGCTTATTACCAAAGACACAACTGGGACTGGCACAGCAGAACGTTGGTTTCTGTACTGCTTGCGATGTTTACGGACAGTCTCTATCTCTTTCTTGAGAGCAGCAATCTACATAAATTGCCGGAAGACTAAAGAGTGAGCAACACATGTATGCAACCTATGGTACTAGCAGAAACAAACGCATTCATGGAAACTTGATATAAGCAATTCAAAGTGCTCAGAAAAAAAGACTATTCTGAGAGGAAAGAGAGAATGTAGTACAGCATTCATGATCACAGAATAAATGACAGCCTGAACGATAATCAATATAGCAAAACCAAAGATTCTGACAAAACTTACAAACCTTTGCAAGATTTTCCATACAAACATATAAAGTAAAATATGCAGCTACCATCAACGAGTAGCTTGCATGCACAGTATGACTTTCTACTAGAACTGGAAGATACATGACAAATGGAAGTCATCAAACAACAGAGAAAAATGAAAAAGAAAAAAAAAAAAAAAAAAAAAAAAAAAAAAAAAAAAAAAAAAAAAAAAAAAAAAAAAAAAAGAAGATCGTGAACTATGGAGAAAGGAAAAGGCAACAAAAGCATCCAATAATTCACAAGTGCAGACACGACATGGAACTTTTAGCAGAAGGCAAAGCTGCTCACCTGGTCAGTTAAGATACGTTTATCAACCTCAATTTGTTTCTCACCCATACCCTTCACCTGTCCTCCAGCCTGGCGCTCAAGGTGGGTCCACATTCTCGTTAGCCGAGGTAGTTGATATTCCATCTGAGCCAGTGACACCTGAATGTAAAAGATTATTTTGTTAGCAACAATATACAGATGCTTTCACTGAAAAAAGTTTTCTGTAAGAAAAAATTCGACCTGCAAAGAAGCTTCACGGGTGGCTGCTCGCTGGTTGAAGATATCCAGGATTAGAGCAGTACGGTCACACACCCTAACATCTCCACCAAAGGTTTTCTCCAAGTTCCGCAGTTGTCTGACTTCAGATACGTGAACAGAGTTAATTAAGAAAAAATATATATTAATATATACATATGTATGTATATATAACCAAATTGCTGACCCAGGAACATAGCCAAATTGCAGAGTTTTAGTACATTAAACTAGGCAAATAATAGCAACTACTGGTATCTATTAAAACTCTTCAGCTTATGAAGAACCAACCCTGGTGAAAGTTCGTCGTCAAAAATCACCGTCTCCACATCAAATGCATGTATTGCGCTCTTAATTTCAGCAACCTTCCCTGATCCTATATATGTCCTGGGATTCAGTGTAGCAAGTCTGCATCAAACACACCAACCACGTCAATCCGTGAACTATGCTTCAAAGTGCCCACAAAAACTAGAAATTTATTAAGAAAAAAAAGGAAAGAATGAAAGAACAAAATGTTATTTATTATTCACTTTTGATAAGTAGAGCCAACAACACGTAATCCAGCTGTATCGGCAAGCTGCTCTAATTCACTAAGTGATTCCTCTATGTCAAAGGCACCATCTGTAAAGCCTTTCCTTGCCACACCAACTAGATAAGCTTTCTCTTCAAACACCTAGCTTCAAATTCTCAGCTTAGTAATAAAATATATAAGCATATGAAGATCTTCTAAACTCCTAATCATCATTCATTTCAGGTACGAAATGCAAAACCAAATCTTCAAAGATAATTCAGCAAACAAAAAGAAACAAGAAAAAAGAAAAACAAACCTCTCGTCCATTTCGCAGTTTGAACCGCCTTTCTCCATCAATTTCCTCTTCATTTCCTCCATTCGCTTGTGATTTTTTCGACCGAATCTGATTTCGGCCTTTCGAAGATTCATCAATTGTGGGGCTAGCGGCTGTGTTGGTCATGCCATGTTCTTCAGCCACCGGCTCTGCATCAAGCGCGGCGGTCCGATCAGAAACCGATTCATCGGGGAAAGTAATTCCGACTCCGTCGTTATATGCCGCCTTGAACCTAGGACCTTTGCCATGAGCTCGAACACCGCACAGCTGAACGGGCTTGGTGAAAGTCCTAGGGTTTGAGGCCAATCGGGAGATGAAATAGTGCTCGCCATTCAGAAACGAAGGCTTAGAGATTGAGCAACAGCATATGCTCATGATAATTCGTCTTTCACGTTATCGTATTGAGTTACTGTAAATTCGAATGATGAACGCAGTCTTCACGTGTCACATAGACGATAGTCACGATACCAGTTCTTGGTACAACTGTAGTGACTAGTGAGTTCATAATTTTTTTTTTTTTTTCCAACCAAATAAAATTACTCAATAAAACTGTCTTACAACAACATGCCTAAATATGCACCAAATTTGCCCTATCAAGCACACCCGCACGCTCAGGCAACACCATAATGATATTTACAAATCACCTTGAAGCGTCATCTTGGTTATCGTATTACAATCTTTACAAATTAAAGCATCAGAAACAAAATCACAATGTCTATAAGAAGCACACAAAGTCTTGAATATCAAAGCCACATTGCCTAGTTGCTCCATATCTGCAGGTAGTCCATAGATCAACTCCATCACTTCCTTGTAATCCACATAGCAAGTTATGCACCCAACATAGTACCACAATGTAGGCCTCCACTGAACTTCCCCTGAAATCCCTAGATGCATCCCGCAATTGTAGTGCACTATCTGATTTGAAAACTTTACCTTCCAGTCCCATTCTCCCATTACTAAAGCTATCACCCAACCCCCTGCTTGAACTGGTTCCATCTAATCTGCCTTGTTCCCTCCTCCCTGCCCTCACCTTTGATTGTCTGCACTCATCCACTTGACACACACACTCCTCACAAGCATTAAAAAACTGTCAGTCATCCAAAGCCCATTTCACTATTCTATCTCCCCCTACCCATTTTGTTATCAAACGCCCAACTATTCCTAGTTTTTCAATGCCACCACAACAGATAAGTGGAACGACTAATTTTATCAATCATGTTGTTGGCTTTTGAAGCATTGCAAATATCTATCCACCACACCTCAAAATCAGGCCCAGGTTGATTTTCCCTGTCCCAAGACACGCCCAATAACTTCCAGCACACCCTAGCTCTCTGACAATGAAACAGAATGTGATTCAGATCCTCATTTCTCTCCCCACACACTTCAAAAACAATCTCACTCCTCATACCCCTCTTACTCCACTGTATCCTAGAACTAATGAACCCATGCCAACAGCTCCACAAGAAATTCTTGATTTTGTTTTGAACAGGAAGTCTCCATGTAATTTTCCACATTTTTTCAATATGTCCTTGCTTACTACTGGACCCCTTATCTTTTAAATCTTGCTTCCTTTCATTATCAACTCATAAGCATTTTTAACAGAGAACATTCCAGCCTTATGCCCATACCACCAGTCTATCTCTCATTCCTAAAGCATTAAGAGGAACGTTAAGTATAGCCCTGGCCGTACTAGACTCAAAGGTTTAATGAATCAGATCTCTGTCTCAACTACTGCCTCCCTCTCCCATAAGATCCCTAACCTTACCCAATCTAGTACGTACATGAGTGTGGATCGCTGACATACAAGAAAAAGATAGCGAGAGAAAGTTTATCGGTCAATAATAGACCGACAGACAAGGGAGTAGAAACCAGTGATCCATGCAAAGGACTAAGACAACCCTGAACTGGCGAAAGTCGCGTACAGGCCAGCCACAAAAGACCTTAAGACCAGTGTGTGCAGCAGGGTGACCTGAGGGTCACAGCCGCAATGAAACTACAACATAATTACTCCAGCCATTTTTCAGCTTATAGCCGAGATGGTGAGCTAAGCCTAAGTTTGGGGCTTTGCTGTCGAAATTTTCGGGAAATGTTTAGCAATTTCTCCACGCTTCGAGTTTGAGGAGTTGTACTCAAGCTCGAACACGTGGAAAATTTAGATGAGTCTCACGTTGATCCGAGTTGACACATAAGGTAGTACCTACGTCACTATGTGGCGGAGGGTACGCTAGTCAATGTTGAGGAGTAGGCCACTCTAAGTCCAGAAGTGTCCCCATAGCTAGGGCGATACCGCTAAGAGAATAGATGAGCTTCTTTTGAGGTTCCTAAATATAGTTTCTAAAAGTTTTGTCTTGGATTTTATCTAAGGCACATAGTGAGTCGCCATGGCAAACTAGTACTAACAAGACCGGTCGTCGACCGGAACAGACCTATACAGTATCCAGATAGAAACCCGTAGTTCTTGAACTTGGGTTAACGGTGTATAATAATCAAAAGTCGGGTACATTATGGAGGCTTGAAATAAGAGTCACTAATCTGAATTTGCCTGGGGGCTTGAAGCCGGAGTTGCCATGGCGAAGCCAAGATCATTAGTAAGAGCAAGACCGAATTCGGAGCTAGATATCCATATTTTCAGTTTTGGTTAGTACTTTTGTAAATCAACCAGCGGGCCGAAAACAGAGATGGAAAAAAGCCGATGACGAGTGAAAAAAGGCCGAGGGGGAGTGACCTCGAGCCACAAGGAGAACTAATAGAGATTCAGATCGGAGAAATGGAAGACCAAATCACTAATGTCAGGAGAGAGTTGGAAGACGAGTTGAGAAAACAATTGGTGGAGTTGTTGAAGGAATTCAGGGACATATTTTCCTTCTCCCCTGAGGAGTTGACGGGAATCGATCCGGAGGTCATGGAACACAAACTCAATGTTGACCCCCTCAGAAAGCTTGTAAAGCAGCGACTCAGGCGTCATGGAGCTGAAATTGACAAAGCAATTGAAGTCGAGGTGGACAAGTTGCTAAAAGTCAAACACATCAAAGAAATCCAATTTCCCGAATGGATATCCAACACGGTGATGGTGAGAAAGGCACTAAACAAATGGCGCATGTGCATCGACTTTCGTGACTTGAACCTGGCGTGCCCAAAAGATCATTATCCTTTACCAAGAATTGATCAGCTAGTCGACTCCATGGCTGGCTGCAAGTTGCTGAGTATGATGGACGCATCCCAAGGGTATCATCAAATTCCCTTGGCCCCCGAGGATCAGGGTAAAGTAAGTTTCGTGACGAGCAAAGGGACATATTGTTATGTCGTTATGCCCTTTGGACTCAAGAATGCGGGAGCAACCTACCAAGGATTGATGGATCGCATGTTTAAACTCCATATTGGGCGAAATATGGAAGTGTATGTTGACGACATTTTGGTGAAGAGTAAATCCTCGACTTCATACCCAGACGATAGCATTTGGGATGAAGTTGAACCCGAGAAAATGCGTCTTTGGAGTAAAGGCGAGGCAATTTTTGGGATACGTTGTCACAGAACGAGGAATTGAGGTGAACGGCAAAAAGGTGAGGGCTATACTCGACATGGCACCACCGAGAAATATTAGGGAAGTACAAGTCTTGACGGGGAGAATTGCGGGATTGAGCAGATTCATTGCTCGAGCACCTGAGAAGAGTTTCCTTTCTTCAAATTGCTCAAGAAAAAGATGACTTTCCAGTGGAGTGACGAGGCTCAAATGGCGTTTGAGAAGCTAAAAGAATTTCTGAGCGAGCTACCCCTACTCACAAAGCCCGAGCCCGGTGACGAGTTGGTATTGTATATCTCGGTTGGAGTAACTTCTTTAAGTTCAGTATTTCTGCGAGAAGAAGGAGGTGCCCAACAGCCGATTTATTACACCAGTCGAGAACTCCAGAGTGTGGAGATGAGATATTTTGAAGTCGAGAAAGCTGCTTTAACATTGGTGATAACAGCTAGGAAGTTGAGGTCGTATTTTCTGAATCATTTGATAGTTGTTAGGACGAACTTTCAACTCGGAGAGACCTTGGGTCGACCCACTGTCTCGGGTCGGCTCGTGAAGTGGGCGGTTGAGTTGAGCGAATATTCCATCAGATATGAGCCCAGACGAGCCATAAAGGCTCAAGCTTTGGCAGACTTTATCCAAGAAGACACCAAAGAAGAAGAAAACAAATGGGTCATGCATGTCGATGGATCCTCTGCGGCCAGGATATCTGGTTTGGGAGTCGTCCTCATGTCTCCTGAGGGCGAGCATCTCGACTTTGCCATTAGAATGGGGTTCAAGGCCTCGAACAATGAAGCTGAGTATGAGGCACTAATCAAAGGGATCCAACTCGCAATTGGTGGTGGAGCAACAGAAATCAAGGCGCACTCTGACTCACAACTCATCATGGGACAGGTGTTGGGAAATTGCGAAATAAAGGAGGATAGAATGATGAAATATGTCGAGGAAATCCAAAGCCTTGTGCAAGGATTGAAAAAAAACTGAGCTAACACAAGTCTCGCGAGAGGAAAACAAGCGAGAGTTTGGCTCGCAAGAATTGTGAGTTCGAATGATGGGATAATGGAAAATTGCATCACCACCATGCACTTAGAAGGAAGAGTGTTGGGCGAAGCAATGGAAGTTGAGGAAAAGGACGATTGGAAGAAGTCGATTCGCGAGCTCCTGCAGGGTCGAGTGCCTATGGGAGATAAGCAAGAAGCGGAAAAAGTCGCTTGATATCTAAGCAAATACTTTGAAATCGATGGAATAATGTTTAAGAAGTCGCTGGTCGGGCTCCATTTGGATGCGGAAAAAGTCGCTTGATATCTAAGCAAGAAGAAGGAACTCATGTCCTGAAAGAGATACATGAAGGATGTTGTGGAGCACACATGGGATCTCGAGCTCTAGCTGGCAAAGCCCTGTGAGCAGGGTATTACTGGCTTAAGTGTGGGCAATGGCGGAAAAACTTGTACGAGAATGTGATAAGTGTCAGCGACACGGCCAGGTCACCCATATTCCAGCTGAATACATGACGACAATCAACTCTTCAATTCCCTTTGCTCAATGAGGGATCGACTTGATAGGCCCATTACCGATGGGACGGGACAGAGAAAATTCTTGGTGATCGCAGTCGACTATTTTAGCTAGTGGGTCGAGGCAGAACCCTTGGTTGGAATTACTGAAGAAAAGATGATACAATTCTTATTCAATAATATTTGTTGTCGATTCGGAATTCCGAAAGTGTTAGTTTCAGATAACGGAACCCAATTCCAAGGAATGCGAATTCAAGCATAGTGCCTCGACATGGGAATTAAACAACGATTTGCCTCAGTTGCACACCCGCAAGCGAATGGGCAAGTCGAAGTAACCAATCGAACTATTC